GCAAGAGCAGAAAAATAATAGATCACAACGTTACGATAGCAACACAAGCCATCGTCCTCAGGTGAAACAATACAGCAGGCGGACTGCTGAGGCAAGAGCAGTCCGCCTGCTGTATTGTTTCACCTGAGGACGATGGCTTGTGTTGCTATCGTAACGTCGTGATCTATTTTTTTTCTACCTACGTGACTTTACCCGAAAGACCCAAAGAGTATGGATTCCTGCAGTTCACGGAAGCTTCAAATCAATCTCTTATTGTATTACGTACAAATTCCATCTCTAGCCCCGCCCAAAGCCTACATAACCTCGTGTTGCAGCAGCTCTTTCTCCAGCCTCAGCAGTTCTCCTGCTGTGTTTGTCTCGCCTGATGACGGTCGCTTGTGTTGTGACCGAAACGTCGTGATATATTAATTTTCTATCTACGTGACTTTACCGAAAGAACCAAAGAGTATATATTAATGCAATTAGCAAAACCTAGTTTAGATTTTATTCCACACCAAATTGGCAAGAACGGCTGGCAATAGAATGAGTGTGGCTAGAAGAAATTGCAGAATGAGTGTGGCTATGAGAGCCCCGGAGACTGTAGCACAGCGCACTAACGATCGCCACAGAAATGCCACTCATTCAAACCCGACGTGCCACGCATTGTCTCACCCTTACCTTGCTGCTGCGCTGGTGTGGGCATCCGTCCCGATGGCGCAAGACCTCCACCCATACCCCCAGACTGGGGATGACCCCTCATCCCCTGAGACATTCCCATGACACCAGGTTGACCTTGCCCAGGCTGTCCCATGTTGCCCGGCTGGGGCCCCCCCTGGTTAGGCTGTCCCTGAGGCTGTGGAACCGGCATGCGATGCATTGGCCCCCCAGGAACCTGAGGTCGGGGTACCATCATGGGAGGGCCGGGCTGCCCAGGGCCCAGTGGGGCTATGACCTGCAGCGCGTGCATTGGGTCTGCAGGCACAGAGAAGAGGTCATTGCTCATTCACTGCAGAACCTTAAGTTGACATCAGCATAACCCAATAATTGTAAATATATATGAGGAACGCTATCTATGGCATATTTGTTGCTATGTTTTGACAACATATTTAATTAACTTATTTAATATATCCTCACTGATCAACAACACATTAACTAATATTTAACATGTCCTTAATTATTGACAAATCATATCCAAGAATTAAAATGCTGCACATTAAAATCACTGATAAATCATGTTTGACTGTTGACAATATAAAATAATGTATATATTTGATAATCAAGCACATATTCAATCAACACCTATTAAACATGTTCAATTATCAAACATATATAAATATGCCGCATTTAAATGTCGATGATCTCAAAATTAAGGACAAAATGTTGTTGATCATTGAGGACATTAAACAAGTTTATAAAATGTCAAAAACTAACAAAGAATCCTAAAACAGCAACAAATATCGTGGAAAAATGTTCATGATAAAAATGTAATCTTTACAAATGTAGACGTTGGGCACTTTTTTGTCAATGCACTGGTGGATGAGGGCCTCCGCACGCCATGCAGACTGTTTAAATAATGTAACCATACCTCATCATGCCGGTTACTGTGGGTAGATAAAGGTCATGACCATAGATGTAGGAGCATATAAGTGCAGTGCAAGCATGGATTCTGCTACACTGCCTTCTGCTGCCCACCATATAGCCACGCAGCAGTCTATAATAAAGGCATTGTGCATGGCGATTACCAATCCAAGCACGATTCAGGCTCAACAACCCTGCTCGGCTCCTGATATTTGACGACATCGGATGCGTTCTGGGTGATTTGGTCATACGTAGATTATGCAACTATGAATGAGAGCCATTATTGTCAAAATCTTTTCTTCATTAATACTATTTTTGTTGTCACCCCCCACACCTCCGATTTGCATGGTTGGCTATGTACGGTGTGAAACAAGTCTAATATACATACACACATTACATACAGAATCTCCAAAACACGGAAAATGGGAATGTTACAGTTAACACAATTAGTGAAAAAATGTAGTACGTCACTTACCACCTTGATTTGGACGAGCCTTCTTTGCTGCAGGGAAAATACGATAATAAATATGTTAGCAAGGTTAGAAAAAGTGGCACTAAAGAAAACTATACAATTAGATCAATCACACAAGTGTAAGAACATTTTCTGCTAGACATTGTTTAACACAATTCAAAGTTAGGATGGTAAATCCACTAATATTGGTTTCTGAATTTTTTTACGCCCTAACTTTACATTCGTGAGCAGCCCATCTTTATGATCTAGAGCCAATGACCTTGACAATGTGAGCCAAGATTAAGTGAGGTGTGGAAAACTGGGCAAGAACTCTTGACTAAAAGCTAAAGTAAGCTAAAATGGACAAAGCAAACTGTGAATATTCTCAGCCACGCAGATACTTACAGTAGTCTCTTATATGTAGAATTAGCCTGGCAAGCAGCGCCATGTACTCATCCTGTCCAAAAACACAACATTCATCCATCCATCAATAGTGACTATAACGTTGACCACAAACCGGTATTACTCATGGACCAGCTGACAATAATTGAATCGCCATTAAATGAATTCAGCTGTCCGAGTATGCTGAGGAGCTTCTATGACCACTGACACGTCCAAGCCACGACCCTTTTGTTAGCCATGAAAGACAGCTGAACCCGATACACGAGGTATGTGGTCGGCCTACAATTTACGTAACAAGGCACATATTGAAGATTCAACAAAGTAACTGCCTTTTGTTACCTGCAAGGCAATGGGCTGTATTTACCCATGTTAGAACTACACAAGGGAGATGTGGCTAACACATCCACATGTGGGGAATTATGGAGTTAAATAATTGTGAAGTGCAATACATCACTCACATAATTGATTATTTCCCAATGCACACTTCTGGAGATTAAAATGTTATCCATGTGGCGAACCAGAAGCCATCGAATGGCCTTCCAAACTAAAGTTAAATGTATTAAGTTGGCCCATTGTTTTTCAAAAGCCGTACACAAAAGGGAAGAGTGGGATGTCTTGCGGAGCGCTCACCCTGCTGCTGGCCTTCATGAATACATGGTTCTCCATCTCCTTACTGGACTTGGTTATTGGGTGGCCAGCCTGCCGTACTGCCTCCTCACTGCTCATACCACAATCAGGCGCACATACCACAATCAGGCACACAAACAAAATATCCTCTCCTCGCCAAACACGAGCACCTCGGGATTTCCCATTTACTATTAATAAAATTCATAACACAACAATAAGAACGCCAGGGGTATTTTGAAGTTTTGTGCCAAATATCATGGCACAGGCCCATGATGACCACAATAGGGTTAGCTATGACTTGCTTTTTGCAGGAAATGCTCATAAGGCTCTTTTGATAAACAGAGACGAGGCTCAAAAGAGCCACACAAAAAAAACAGGAAGAGCCATTTACCTAGTCAGCTGTGATTCATAAATACGGTAAGGTCATTTATTATTTGGGATGAGATTGTGGAGGGAAGCCAATTTTCTTTTTACTATAGGGACTGTTTGATCGTGATGCTCAACGCCAGTTAGTCAAGGACTACTTCAGATATTAACTTGCCACTGAGCTTAGCCACGAATGAGAATCAAATTCAGCTTGCTGAGTTCATAGAGTATGACGTTGATAGCTCGTTTTGAAGCGATGGCCGGCCAAGAACCCAACTCGTCAGCCTCACAACTATAATTTTACTTCATCCTGTCCACTTGCAACCGAGCCGTATTACAGAAACGCACAATGAAACAGTCTTAAACTTTATAGCCGGTAAAATAAACGTCTGTGAACTCGGCGATTTCATTGAAACCAAGGCATATCTGAACCGGTCCTGGGCTCTACCCACTTCTCCAATCCGCATCTGACGCAAACCTGTCAACCCCTTATCAGTGCCCGACCGTATTACAGACCAATTCAGACCTTATTGGTCACCCCCGTGCCCTTATAAATCTCAACGTTCATCCTACAAAGTCCCACCACAAGGGAGAAACACAAACAAATAAGGCAATGCACACTTCTCGAGTATGGACCTGAAAACTCAACTTCTCCGTACAAGAACGACGGGGAAGCCGTATGGGTTGACACGGTATGCATACAAGTTTGATTTAAAGCTTTCGTGACTGCAGTAATTCATATTCTTAGCTCTTTACCGAAAGAGCTAAGAATACGGTATGCATACTTCACCAGCGTGGCGGTGAAGTACTATGAATCCGCACCATACTTCACCAGTGTGAAGAATGATGAACTCGTTAAGTACCGTATATTGAACTTATGTTTGGCACTCATCCAGCAGTTAAGTGGCGATTTGCCTGTCATTCATCATCATCATCAGCAGCCATGGTCAATCCACTGCTGGTCTAACAAGTCGCCCCAAGCCGCCGCTTGTCGCGACCGTACACTTTAATAAACACTAGATCCTAGCGTCTCATTTCATCGCTCCATCTCGTCGTCCGTCCCATCCTCTCGGGAAGCGATCCGTTCCTTGCCTGCCACTCCGTCATTACCCTCCACCGCAGGCCACCGTCCCCGCTAACAATGAGCCCTCTTCCCAAAGGTCTGAACGACACCATTAACCAGCGTTAGTAGTCTCGAATCTGCGTGTCCTGTCTTCACGTCTCTCACCACCACCCCCGCCCGCTATACGTGTCCCCTCACTGCCACCAGAAGCTGGGGGAGGGGGGGGAGTCGAACCCCCACGATGTAACTCTGAGAAGAGAAGACCCCCCCCCACACCACCAGACAGAGGGCCCTGGGCAGCCTCCCCAGCCGCCCGCAGCCCCCACCGCGTACAACTCTACGCGACTCACATCTGCACCACGACCTTCTGGCGGAACGCCTGGCTGCGCCAGTCCGACTCGCCCATGTCCATCGCGACGACTCCTCAGCCGGAGCCGCCGCCGCCGCTGAAGCCTCGTCCACAAGTCCACACACCACCCGCCTCTGTCGGCAAGGCCGCTCGCGTGACGTCAACACGCACGGGAGGAGGGGGTGGGGCCGTGACGCGAAACACGTCATGACGCTGGAGCCGGTGCCGAGGACGTGACGTCATGACGCTGGAGCCGAGGCTGTGACGTCATGACGCTGGAGCCGGTGCCGAGGCCGTGACGTCAAGACACTGGAGCCGAGGCTGTGACGTCATGACGCTGGAGCCGGTGCCGAGGCCGTGACGTCGTGACGCTGGAGAGACTTTCGGGGTGTGGGCTAGCGGCTCAAAATAAGTCATCTTTATTATTTTATCAGTGATAAAGGTGATTTAATTTGTATGTATGGGGAGGGGGGGGTGTTAGATCGCGTAAATGTGTCGTAAAAGCCGCCACCACCCGACACAGCCAATTACTGTAGCAAGGTGTGTCACGTAAACAAAACGTGCCAATTAGTGACTACTTCAGCACTCCGGTGTGTTGGAGAGTAAATCCACAACATTGGACGTTTCGCTGGTGGTTATAACTAGCTTCGTCAGGCGATAAGCAGAATTGCGTCTTTATTTATACTGGAGGAATGCGATGAACTATAAATGTCTTGTTTTAGAGTTTATATTCTATTCTCCCGAAAAAAACATAACATTCATACCCAAACACTATTTAGTATTTGTATATGTTATGGGTTTTTTTTTTTAAGAGCACAAGGTGTGAAATATACGTGTTATTCCCCCGGACAAAGCCGCGTGTACTTCCTGCTCGTGAGCTATACAGATGTTTTTCACAGATGTCCAGTAGAGGCGGGTCAGAATATTACACAACAAAGTGCCAAAAACACGACGTGAATGCAAAGTACTGTATAGGAAAGGAAAACAAATAACTTTAAAAATAACAAACAAAACTAAACAATTGTATACAATCAGGTAAAGCTCACTGAGCTTTTAGCTTATTGTTCAGAAGCGACCTGGCCACAAATGATAGCTCAAAGAAGTGGCTTATCATGTGGAAATCTAAAGCAGCAAAATAATCTAAATAATATAGACTGCACGTTTCTAACCGTGGGGGAAATAACCGGATGACCCCGGGGAGAACAAATCCACGCGACCACGGGGAGAGACACACGCAAACTCCAAATTCACAGCAGGCGTCAGATTCGGGATCGAACCCCCGAACCTCCTGCACACCGCGAGAGATAGTTAACATCTCGCTGTGGCTTTGTTTGCCAGCTGTGTCTCTCCGACAAATGTCCCCTATTGATTCACGAACATGCAGATGTGCATATGATATATATACAGGGTGCTTAAAAAAATGTGAACACTTCTGCGAATTTGCAACAATGCCACAAGACATGTGCTGCTGCCTCCGGGCTCTGGAGAGCACGTGGAGAAGATTCCAGGCCACGTGTTGACAACGATGGCGAACAAGTGGACACTCTTTGACTTTTTGAAGCTATTAACATACGTTTGTTATTATTTTACAGTGTATTATCCGTTATGTTTCCATGAAAAACGATGGTCCCATATAAGTAAGAATAGGTTTTCCCCTTTCTGGCAATAAAACAGTTTGTGTTAAGACGTTAAATCACCAAACTGAAACCTTTTGCAAGGAATCATGTCTGCATTGACCACAGATACTTGTAGTGAAAATACAAACAAAAAACACACTCTAACAGTATATGCATTGTCCTTGAAACTGATTGGTCCACACCAGAGACAGCTTTCTTTTGAGCCTCGTCTCAAACAGTGTTAGACCAGAGGACGCCAAAAGGCGAACAGCACAAAGAAAAGTGATGCACTATCAGGACAATGAGAGCTCGGGGTTAGCAGCTACATCATGGGACCTCCTTTGCCAGTATCAAAATATAAGAATAGGTTTCAGTTTGGTGTTTTAACATCTTAACACGACTATTTTATTGCCAGAAAGGGGAAAACCTATTCTTATATTTTGATACCGGCAAAGGAGGTCCCATGATGTAGCTCCCATGTAAGTGTTAACATTTTTTTAAGCACCCTGTATATACAGTATAGTGAAATGAATTGTAGTTGTATCAGTCCACTGCTTGGGGGGGGGGGGATGGTGAGTTGTTTGGCCATACATTCATCGTACTGGTCTGTGTGTTCGTGAAGTGGTGGGAGCACGGCCTACATTATAGAGGCTGTTCTGGCATTCACCAAGGCCGTTGTTTTTATTGTAATGTTTCAATCAAAAAAAGTAATTTGATAAATAATGGTAATTCATTGAAAATTGAGAAATGCTGGATTACAGATTAATTTAATCACTATAGCACAACCAAAAAACCCTACGCAGTAATTTAACACGCAATAAACCCCATTCAAAATGCTCCAGATGTCACACCTGTAGAGGTAACTGCTGCTCGGTCACAGTACAACGATATGGAAATCCCCTGGACCAGATGAAATAACCATTTACATCAAAATGTAGCGGGTACACTTCTCGCCAAAATGCACCAACAAGTCAGGGTTCCAGTCGTCTCCACCACCGCCTCCGTCAGAGCTCCCTCCTTCATACAGTTATCTTTATCCACAGCTCTATCTCTCTCCCCTCGCTCCTGACATCCTCCCTTATTCCCTCCCCCTCATCCCCAGCCACCAATTCCCTATCTTCGTACTTCGGACCGTGTCTCCTCATCTCCGGCCACCAATCCCTCTTCATACCTGGGGGTTACTCCCAGTGAACTGTGAAGGGTTTGACGGCAGTGTGTGTAGAGGGGATGGAATCACGATGTTGTGGGGACCGTTATGGAAGAATGTTAATAAAGAAATGGGAACCAGCTATGGGAACATTTAGGGGAACTATCTACTAAATGTGTACACAAATTAAATACCTCAATTAAATTCACATTAAAAAGGGGGAGCCAAAAACGATTAAACTACAGACCCATTAAGTCACTTCTGACACACAACTCGTTCCGGAATATCAGATAACAAAATAACGGTCCATTTAGAGACCATTACAACAATCTGGTTTAAGAAAAGGGTTCTCTACCATTGACTACATTCTATCAGATTAAAGAAAACGACAATTGAATATTATCTATTTACAGACCGAGTAAAACACAGCCCACTTTCCTTCCCTTTAACGTATTAAGCTTAGATCTTTCTTGCACACCACAACCTTTTTCTCATTCGCCATGATGCATGGCGCTTTATCGTAGCGTGGTGGACAAGGGCCCTGGTGCAAAGTATGACATGGGGACCCCTCCCCCGTCCAATTTCCCCTCTCTTCATAGCCCACCGCCCGCACACTCGATAGCCACGCCACTGGCGCGGCGTGTATTTTTGGGCAGCATGACACGAGACCTCGGCTCTGCGTCATAATTGATTTTATTGACGAGCAGCAGCAGCAGAGGACAGAGCTTCGCAGTCCAGCACAAAAAAAAACAAAGGCATCCGTCGAGGACAATTTGCACCTGCATAACAAATTCACAGCCCAAACAATGCAGCGGGGCGAGACGCCTTCCCACTTCCAAAACCCACAGCAGCATTTCACAAATGAGCATTTCTGAAGAGTTCACAACATAGAGGAGTTTTGTTCACGTTGGTTAAGAATGAAATAACTGAATAACAATAGTTCAATTAGTGAGAACCGCACAAATCTATTCCACACGCAGGAGTCTGTTCTGGATGAGTTCATATGAAGGATATTTAAATTAAACAAATCACTTCACAATAGAAAAACAATCTATCAAGTATGATACCCTCTCATAAAAAGATAATCTGCACTTGCGTTAGCAACCCACAAAGACTTTTCACAAGTGTTACTCGAATGCATCAATTGGCACACATCTATCACGAACACCTGCTCAAATTGGCTCTTCAAGCTTTCACAATTCAGAAGCTACTGCTTTTTATTCTACCGGACCTCCCATTTCTACCTTACCAAAGTGAACACAACAATTTCTTTAACAGCTACACCTTTTTAACCGACACTGCAAGTGTGCTTCGACAATAAACGTTATTTTTATTTGACCCTTTTACAATCAATGCGATGGGTTTTTTCCCCTCTCTCCTGGATGAAGCTTGCAAACTCAGTAGTTGTGGTTTGCGACGAAGAGAGATTCCGATGCTGCACTGCCAGACGATCCGGCAGGGACGTACTTGCCCTGGGCAGCCAACCCGTTTATCTGAGGAGAATCAACAAAGGGAAAGTTGAGCATGTAGTTAGACCGCATAGCAGAAATGTCATACCCGTATTCACAACACTTATTATCAAGATCACACAAGTACAGTAATTTTATTGACTTTCCTTAATATTAGACATTATCCTACAGCAACATCTCTCGCCAGTTTTTCCACACTGGTAATCAACATTAACACGGGCGACTTGAATGAAAGGTGGTGGATGGTTGGGTGGACAATGGCTTGTGAATAAGTGCGTCGAAGAGCAGCGCGAGGAATTACGGCGGCGCGCTTCTCAAACTCCTTCTTGGCAGCGGGGATGTTTGCAGGATTTCCGGCCCAGGCCTTGAGCACGGAGGCCTGCAGAGCGCGGCCGTACGAGAAGCTCAGGGCCCACGGCCGTTCCAGAGGCACCCGATTGATGGCATTGAGGTTGAGAGAGGCATCCTCCTCACTCTGCCCACCCGACAGGAAGGTGATGCCTGCCGAGAGATACCGTCATTCGTCTCCATCGCTCACCATCACCGTCATCATGCGCACTTTACGAGCGTTTCCCTTTGCGGCGACTTAGTCCATCGAGATCCACTGCAGCCTAGCATATTTCTAGCATCGGAAATTAAATGGCGATTTGGTAACAAGTCGAAGCTAAAACGTGCACTTTCAATGCAATGTTGGGACCCAATCACAAATTTTCCCAATCTCATCAGATCTTGCTAGCTCAGCAGGGTGGTTCCTGGAGTTCCCAGGATGGGTGACCATCATACACAAGGTTGTTTATAGGCTGCTGCGGGGCTATATGGCGGGCAGCCCGGGGGCAGCGCAGCAAACTCGATCGTTGTGTACTTGCATACTTTCTATGCTCCCACAAGCTAGTTTTGACAATTTCCCTGCAATGCACTCTAACATAAGGAGGCGGGGATGGAATTCCGAGTCG